TTTATGTTGATAATCAATAAATCCTGCCAAAAGTAGGAATTATTGGTGAATCGGCCAATAGGATCACTGCCTGAATACATAATCAGAAAAGTTAGCTTTAGTGAAGGCCTGATTACTGCCAGACTGCATGCTTCTTTCAGCATTTTTTGCTAACATTATGTTTGCCCTTATAGCTTCGTGTGAGACTTTTAATTTCAAGCGGTATTGTAGGGATTGTACAAAAATAGATTTGTTTTGTTGAATGATGTTGTTCTCCATGTTTTTGTAATATATTGCAGATGTGCCAAAGGATTAACTATAATAACTAAACCCACTAAAATGTAGGTAGCACATTTGTCCTGGTTTCAACTGGGACAGAGTTAGTCCTTCTTTTTAGCAGCCAGAAGAGCTCCGTGTTTTGGTTTTAGTCTGGGACTCGTAATGAGAGGAATGTTGACAGCGCACTGATGTTTATAGTTGTTGTTGAGACCTCAAGGACTTTTCAGCTTCCCGTGTTTAGCCAGTGTGGCACAAAAGGCTGGGGGGGAGCAGGCCGGGACAAAGGGTCCACGCCTCCCCTTATGATTTGAACTTCGATTTAGGATTGAGGGCCCAATTGGCCAATGGAGTATTCCATAGAATGCAGCGTCATGCCCAGTATAAAAATGAGGGCTGACCAGAAAGAAGGGCCTTTGCTTTTCTGGGGGTTCTCTCTCTCGGAGTGCTGTCTCTCTTTTGCTCTCTTTTCGGGTCTCTTGCTTGTCCAAGATTGCGGTGTCGGGACTTACCTGTTTCGGGACCATTAGTCTGGGATGGGATGGGTCTTGGTCACTGGGCAGTGAGCAATTACACTGTGCATCACTTGTTTGTATATATTATTATCATTGTACATGTGTAAATATTCATGTAGTAGTAGTACTGTTAAATTGTTCTTATCTCAACACGGCCATGGCACTGGGCAGCTGGCCAAGGCCAGCCCATGAAGGATGAGGACTGGAGAAGGTGCTGTCAACCACCAGAGAGAAGACAGCCCTCT